TGAAATCTGTTATCCTCATAGAATCCAGTGAAGCAGAATGCAATATTCCAAAAAGAACCTCAACATTTAAGTAATGATTAAGTTGTTTGTCATGCAAATTAACCAACTCTGCTTTTCCATTCACTTATGTTATAATTGTAGAATCATTTATCCTCAATTCTGGGCCATGGTCTATTGATAGTAGACCCTACTATAATTTTATCTTTAAGTTTATGTGATTCTCACCTTCACATAGCTGATGATCTTTAAAGAATGAGTGCATGAGGCTTCTATTTAAAGCAGCACCAGTAAATCAAAGCATCTTTTTAAAATGCAAAGAGCTATCATAAAATGTTAGGTTTATCTAGGGTGGCCAACCTCTCGTATTAGTCAAGGTAATTAATCTAGCTGCTGTTATGCTAACAGCCTCCAAGTCTCAGTGGCTTTAAAAAACAAAAACAAAAACAGAAAAACAAAGTTCAATTCTTGTTCAGGTCAGTCACCTGTAGGTCAGGCAGCTATATGGAGCAGCTCCAGGTGGTGACTCAGGGATCCAGCCTCTCTTGCGCCCTCTTGTGGCATCACTGTACCTTAGGGCTTTCTCAGAGTTCTTATCTGGATGTTCCACATTAGTGAAAACAGGCAAAGTACACCTGCAGAGGATCATGCAGGTAACTTTTGGCTGGGCCTGAGTGAGTCATACGGTCCCAGCCTAAGTATAGGGGAAGTAGGAAAATGTCGTCTTGCCCCAGTACTCATTAAGATAAAACTGTATATTTAGCCATTAGACAATTTCTACTCCAATTGTACTTACAATTTGGCCCTGTCCACCAGGGAATATGCCATATCTTTGTAAATATGGTATTTTATGTGTTTAGATTTATACCATTTGTTAAATTAGCCAAGACAAATTTTAATAAGCAATTTGAAGTACATATTTATAAAAATATATTCATTGAAGATTTTTCCTTTAGAGAAACATCATCATTCGTATTGTATAGATAATGTAGTTTGAAACCTTAGACATAATCAGTGAAGCAAATTTTATATCGCAGATTTCAATATGAAAGTGATTATGTTTGCTTACTGTGTAAAGTGTATATAAGGAATTATATCATTTGCTACTTTGGAGATGTGATGTATTTGCCAGGTAAGATAAACAGCAAAAAATCACAAAAAATCATTCAGAGGAGTTGAACTTAATGAGTAGAGCCACTTCTAGAAGAACCCCCAGATTTGAGGGTCTCCTATATGGAAGGCCTATTTTCTTAACAAACTGATACTTAGTTACATGACAGTGTTTCCTTTCCAGGAACACGTCAGTAGATTTTAGGCTGCTACCATTCTAATTAGGAAAGCTGACGTTTCCTTAATTAGAAAGACTGCGCTTAACATAGTATTTGACAGTGTTAAATATTGGTAAATTACAATCACTTTATTCAGAGCCCATTACACAAAGAGATGGGATTGTGAAACATTCACCAGTTAGCTCTCGCCACACGGAAGTGGTTCATGGTGTTGGGAAACCAAGGACGGTCAGGGCCTTAGGAAGCATTAAAACCTCACACTCACGCTGTCCCGGCAGGTTTCCAGTTGTCACGGATGATGTTAAAGAAAAATTATTCAGTGCTGCTTGTTAAACTACAGTAAGGAAGACTGTACTCAGGACCATTGCGATAGGTGTAGGGACGACAGAAATGGGGCTTGCAGTGGGGGAGAGAGATTGGGCTCTACACTCAATACAGCTGCGCAAGGTGGGGGGGTCGTGGATAGAAAATGACTAAGAGGAGACATCGGGGTGAGGATTCTAGCTGAAGCCAGCCCAGGTGACCAGACGTGCTCTGGGGGAGGGTGGAGGAGGAGGAACCCGATCACATATCCAGAGTGACCAGATACTGAGGGTAAGGGGCTCCTGCTAAATTGACTTTAAGAGGGTTCTTGTCAAAACTGGATTGCACAAGGAGGTGCACAGGTGGTCCTTGGAGAAGGTCCAGGAGCCGGGCTAATGTCTGTCCAAGCAGGGACTCTGTCCATGGAGCCTGGGATGGGTGTGAGGTCCCTAGAGATCACACAGTTATGACTTAAGATGTTTGAGGGCATTTACGCCACACGTCACATTCTCTGGGCACTAAAGAGAAAGTAGTGAGGCTTAGCCTTTATATCGGAAAACTAGAGGCCTGCACGAGTCATATCCACTGCCAAGGGTCACGCAGCCTCTGCCTGCTTCTCCACGGCCACTTCTCGCCTTTTTACTAGAAGTGCGTGATCGAACGCGAGCCTATCCTGGTCCCAGCAGTGTGCCCTCCGCTCCTCTCTCTCACCGTTCCAGGAGTTTGTTCTGACTCTGGTTTGGTTTTCCTAAGGAATCCAGTTGAGAAAGAGAGAAGAGACAACAATATTTTGCCTATCAAATTTCTGCAAGACACATTCAGTCGTATTTTACGGCTGTGCTGGTACAAATTCCAACATGATCTCCAACCTCCAATATTGATTTTTTTTCCTTCTGATTTTAAAAGAAATTAAAACATTTTTGTGGACCCCTAGAAGGGCCTTAGAGAGTGTGCCCGATGGGGGGTAAGCTGGGTTTGCTCTGCCTTCTGATTTATTTGTTTTTTATCCCTCTCTGCAAGACTCAGCCCTTCTCTTGAGCTAAGAAGGGATTCGATAATCTTTGCAGAACTGAAACTTGTATTTCCCATTGCTTCAGCTCATGCCCAAATCCAGTAAACATTCCACATGCTGTCGAACTGAATCACGTTAGAAAGGCTGGTATGACAGCACACAGCATTTTTAATTGCCAAGAAAAATTTTATTTTAACTTTGCATTAACACATTCCAAGGAAACTTTTTACTTGATGTAATCATTTTGAAGATAGTATTTTCCAGAGATGTGACAAACACTTCTGTTTTGTTTTCCTCCACTTTTCACTATATGCCCTTTGGGGAAATCTGAAAAGTCAGCTTTCCTTCTTGAATCTTGAGTCCTACAGATACGCAGACTGCCATTTTGCTTTTCATGCAGTTCCTGCCGAATTTGTAAAATGATGCCTATGTATATGTTACTAAACTGCTTAACTCTTAACGTCTACGTAATGCTAAGAATATAAAGATTTAAAAAAAATTGTTTAAAGCTTCAAAACCCACTAAGGTTTTGACATAGCCTCCAGAGGTAATATCAATAGATGCTTTGAAAACAAGTAGCCGTGCCTTACAGCTCTGTAAAACACCAACCAAGCAACAAACAGCTATGCCTTGAAGAAGGTTTGTTGGGTTTCTCCTGGACAAAAGAATTCAAATTTCCTGTTATACATTCAAAGCAAAAGTTTCAGATGGTAAATGGTTTGAAGTCTAAAATAACTATGGTTATTAGAAATAAACCTGATTTTCAAATGTCCTGAAATACAATCGTGATCGCAGTTATTTTGAGGCACTTTTAAGCTCAATACGTTTGCATCTAGAGGTGAACTTTGTCCCTCATTTGCTGTTAACATTTTATAGATCAAACAGCTAATTCTCCACCAAATAGGTGTTCACATAATCTATAAAAGCTCTTCAAGTTACTTAATCCTCCAACATACATTCCCATATTATCAAGTATTTTCTGAAAGTCCACTTGCATTGAATGTGCTAACCTTTGAGTAAACATTGTCACCTTTAAGCATAAATTCACAATAGTGGCTTTAACTAGTTTTTGCATGATAATATCAGCAACAATCCTAACATCATCAATACGGGAGCACACTCTTTATTAAGAATGTTTTCTAAAACAAGATGACAGATTTTCCTCAATTTCTGGAATAAGAAATCCACGTTAAACGGAAGACTCCTGTTTGCTTTCCAGCTTTCAACTATTCCAGGGTGGCGGTGGGGGTGGGGATCACTTCTTTTTTGTTGTTGTTTGTTTTTCGGGAAAGAAAAAACAAAAATTAAAGTCTGAAATAGAACTTTAAGAGGAGCTGGGGAAACACTGTTGAATCCTGGACATTCCCTGAGGTGGAGGGTAGCGGAGAGGAAATGCTAGCCAACTTTCAGAAAGCCCAGGACAGCTACATCCTCTCCAAGCCACCACATGGGGTCCGGGCATTTCATTGCCCTGCACTGTCTTGGGATGGAGCAAATGCTGAGTAAACAGGAGGTGCTTTTGTGGACAAGGCCACAAAAGGGGTGAATGGGTAAGCAGGTGGGTGTTTCATCTCCCGATTTATCCACAAAGGAATTCAATCATACTGTTGGAGAATGTCTCCTGTCTGAAGAAGTGACCGCACCTCACATTCCACAGGTGGAAGGGTCTCTGCTCAGGACGGGCTGGTGGTCCAGACTCTGACGCCATCCCCAGCTGTATCGCGATCAGCCACTTCCCTGTGGAGCCGGGTATGCATTTTCCCCCGTCGACTGGGGTTTGCAGGAAATGGAATTAAAACGAAACTGTGCAATTCGTTGTGGCTGGATGGCACAGATATTTCTCAGCCATGGGATAAAACTACACAGAACAAAAGAATTGACCCTCACTACTGTGCTGCCACCACTAACTTGTGCCTAGAAGTGAAGATAATCATGCTTGTGTGTATAGATCGTGGACTGCTTGTGGGGCGCTTTCGTTCCTCCTGAAATATCACAGACGTTCCAAGCCAGTGATTCTGAATTATGCTGGAAGAGATTTCCTCAACAGTAGCATCCCCAAAGTGGCCTTTTAATTCAGAGCTTCCATTTCCTAAAAACCAGTGGAACCCAACTATAATGCTACAAGTTATGGAATGGTAATCAGTTCAGGAGAGATTTGTCTTGGGATTATTGTTAATGAAGGATTTCACAAAAAATTATTGTGCAAAAAAATTTATTTGTGAGCCTCTACTTTTTTTTATTTAAATACTGATAAGCCTCTATGTCCCTATTTTAAATATCTTAACCTTCTTGAAGAAAGAAAAACTCTGCGTGTGTGTATATGTGCATGTGTGTGCGTATACATATATATATGTAAAGTATATATGTGTACATCTCTATATATGGTAAATAGCATTTAATATGTGTTCTAACTAATACCAGTAATGATGACTAGTCTTCCAATAACCCAATCAGAACTTACCATGATGTGTTACTCGTAAAGAAGATGGCCTTTGTTCACTAGAAAGTTGTGTATGTTAAGATTGACTAAACTTAGCTTAAACTTGGCTATCTTTTGTATCATGCTGCTGGGGAGTCTTGGTGGTTACTGCATAACTTCAGATCATGGAGCGAATGATACCGTATGCCAGTGAACACACATGTATGCTGAGGGGCGAATTAAGGTGACCTTCTGCACCTTCCTGTTACCTGTCTGCACTACTCAAGTGCACGCCCTTCTATCCCACCACCAGGAGTCCAGGGACTCTGGCCAGGGACGGCACAAGTCCACCATCTTCCTCTCTGCACACTGCAGAACTTATTCCTCACCTCAACCCCCTAGCTGAGTAACTGTAGAGCTCTTGTTCAAGCCTTCAGGTGACAAAACAGAGAATCGGTCCAAACCCAAGACTCGGACGGGGTTCGCTTCACCCAGTGCACTCCCAGACGTGGTCCGTAAGCAGATGGTGCGCCTGTCCACACGCATCCATCTGGCCCACAGACATGGCTAACGGCTCACTAGCGCGTCCTGTTTTTCTCTGTCGCACTGGCAAGATAGGCCGGAGGAAGGACAGCAGAGCTGCAGCCAGGGCTTCCACAATTGGTTCCCCAGTGACAATTGATTGGGGACCTCTGACAGGCTCCGGGTGTGCTCGTCCGCAGCTGCCTGCATGACTTTGAGGATCTCATGGAACCGGGGCTCGGTGGTTGGGGTTAGTGGGTTTCTCTCGCTTGGGTCTTTGGAAATGTCGAACAGCAGAGGTGGGTCGTGACGTGTAACGAATTTCCCGAAACAGAAGCACACGTGCGTGGAGAAGCACCCGTTGGAGCCTGCGGGGCTGAACTTGGGGGTGAAGAAAAAGGCTTTCCAGATGGACGTGCCTGCGGTTTAAAAGGACGGGAATGGTGTTAGGTGTTGAGCATCACTGTCATGGTACTTGCCACAAATGAGAGAGTGACACAGAAATTAGGCCGTCACGTGCTCTAAGAAGGTGAAGGTTTACCAAGCAGCAGGCAGGACGCTGATGTGTACCTGAGGGATTATGAAGCCACACGAGGCACACGCGCAGCCAACGCGAACAATCGCAAGCATGCTGGGACCTCGGTCAACAGTCTGTTTTCTCAGTTTTGAGAAAGTCCAAAAACGCTGAATCAAGAATTAAATGAGGCTAGAAGTGAGGTGGGGACAGCAAATGGGGAACAGAGATGACCTTTGTGGGGTGAGGGAGATGTTCTAAAATTAGATCATGACCAGGGCTGCACAGCTCTATAAATTTACTAAAAATCTTTGGATCGGAATATCACAGCATGCAAATCATACCTTAATGAGTGTTGGAAATTCCAAATTAGGTGAAGTCATCCACACCAGATGGTTAGTTTTAAAATGTAAGTTCTGGGTTCTGTTAAACCCCCAAATATTGAAATTTCTTGGAAAAACTGACTTACAAACAAATGAAAAATTGGAAATAACTGATTCATTTCCAGTTTCTCGGACAATGTTCTGATTTTCTGGGGAGCTGCGTGCTCTCACACACCCTCTGAGACAGGTCTAAAAATGTTTCCTGGGTGTGAAAAATGTAGCAGGTAAAAACAGAGAACTAAAATGCATGAACCAACAAGAGTTAGGTGCAGAGCGTGAGCATCCGTACAGCTTTTTGCATAAAACCAAGGAGATATTCCCACTGGGAAGCGCCACACACTTAGGCAACTCGCCCTGATCATCTGCACGTAGAATGACGGCGGCAACTTTGGTAATTATAGGAATTTTGTGATTGACTGATCAAAATACAAGATATATAAATTAGTGGAATCAATTTAAACCAACAGTCACTGGTACCTGTGCTGTCCCCAGATTGCCCCTGACCTCAGACAAGGTTATTCACGGGAAAAGTCAGCCTCTGTCTGGTTTGTGTTTGGAAGAAGCAGCTAGGAAACGCAGGGCAAGCAAGGTGAACATGTTCCAGATGGATCTATTAAAGGGGATTCTTAATGAGGTGTCTGCGGACCGCGGCGTAGTTGATTCTGGGAGAAGCGGGACATGACATCCCTTTGACTTTACACGGGCTTAGCGCACTTGCCTTCCAAAGATAAGGTCAGGCCGGCGCGCAGACACGCCGGGCTGCAGGAAGAATTTCGGGCCCTGGTAACCATCTCCAGCAGAGATTTAAAAGGCAGGGGGTAACCTAAAGATTCCTTACATCCCTTCCTCTCATCCTGCTTTCTTCCTGGGTATGAGAGATTTCCTTCAGAAGCCGTTTCGGAGGCAGGCTGACAGAGCCGGTCCTTTGCAGCCTTAGAATCCCCTGCCAGGGTCAGCGGGGGAGTCTGTACAGAGAGAAGTGAGCCGGGAAGCCCCTTCCTGTTCTGCAGCCCAGCGCTGCAAATCTGGAGGGCGTTTGACACTTGACATTCCGGTCAAGCCTCAGCATGTTTCAAACCCCAAGAGATTGCAGGCTCCTGGAATGAATTCATTTTAAGGGCCTGTACCTTCCACTTGCTTTTGAGAGCCGCTCACACGGATGCTGCTATTACCACCTGCGTGCGATCCGCCCCAGATGGGACCTGGAAGACGGAGGGGAGGCCCCGGCCACGGCCCACAGGCCTGCCCACCCGGGAGTGGTGGCATCGCTAAGGAGTTCGGGAAGAAGGCTTCCTTTTTCTAAACAATTATTTAGCACGCTCTGAGGCTGGTTGCCTTTTGACCCTCTAATTTGTAGTTTTAAAAACTTTTCATAAAAGGACAGATTGCTTAGTCTCTGCGCTGTTTCTTGGGACCACTTTGAATTTTCTCCGACGAGAGAAACAGAACTGCGTTTCCGTGAACGTCGGTCTGCAAGGGTCCTACCTCGGGAGCGTGTCCTGTTGCTCATTAGGAACCCAGGAACTGACATCTCCAAAGCAGTCATTTAAAACACGAAGACAGCTCGGACTTGGGGGGCGAGGCGGGGCAAGGGCAACATACATAACCTAAACATCTGTACCCCCATAATATGCTGAAATAAAAAAACAACAACAACAACAAAAAACACGAAGACTAAAATCCCAGTCGCTTGATAAAATAGGAGGCACCTGGCCCCACATTATATTTTTAATGGGCAAATTTAGTCCTGTGTTCCAAAATTATTTTGATAGCTTACTCCCTCCTGGATATCCTCATATACTTGAAAAATGTTGAATTAAAAAAAATGTTCTTTTCATTACTGTATTTTTAAAATTCTCGTCTATTGGTCAATGGTGAGAACCCCGAGAAAGCCTGCTTCTCTCTCACCACTGCAATAGGTGAATATTCTGACCACCGCGGGCACTTAGCCTCATTGACAGCTGACAGCCAATGACGTGGGGAAGGAAGTCTCAAATTTTATGTAAAGCATGCAGAAAAATTAAGGCGGACAGCATTTTTTCGTTGTTGTTAAAGTATTCTAAGCAGTGATAAGGATAATAATTCTACTGAGGTTTAAAAAATGCTCCCGAAAGTTAAGAGAACTAGGATTCTCACAATTGTCACAATGCATCGTCAGCAACATATGATAGTCAGAGCAATGCTACATCACCGCACTATAACACAACGCTTTGGAAACCACCACCCATCCGGCGAAACACATTTTTATGTAAAATTACCACTAAAAAAAAATGTGACTCAACTCATGAGAGAAGAAAGCTTATAGGCATTTGACAAAGAGGCAAATAGAATTTAAGTGAGAGAAGCATTATGCCCAAGCAAGATCTGGACTCGGCATCTTTCACGTATAATCCTAGGACAGCTATGTTATTAAAATTAAAATAAGCTACAAATGAAGTTAAATAAAGAGATCTCGCGGTTCCCTGGTCAGGTGGCCAGGAAGCCCCCAAAATGAGCGGATGTGGTCCCCAAGAATAAAAAGAGAGAGGGCGCAAAGCTGCTGCATCTTTGAAAAGACAGGAGCTGAAACTTCAAACTAGTTCTGAGGTCCATGTTGCCAGTTTGGTTAAGGGCTTAACTCCAGGCGTCGACACTTGAGGTTGAAATCCCAGCACTGCAATATCCTGACTATGGGATGCTGGACACAGATGCTCTCACCTCTCTGTAGCCCAGTCTGCTCCTCTGTTAAATGAGGATAATAATAGCTCCTGCCTGGTGGCAGTGCTTTGAGGATTAAACATTCAGTCCTACATGTGATGCTCTCAGAAGGCTGCCGGGTCTATAGCAAAGGCTGCACCTGAGTTAGCGGCTGCGAATTTATGCACAGAGCACACTGGTTTCTGCCTGCCCTTAAATCTGTTGCTACTGTGATACGTGTCTTCAGACATGTTTTCGCCTCAGCTAAAGATCATGAAAGAATATGGAAAACTAAGTTTAAATGGCTTCCACACATGGGCTCCCAATGTATCACTCAGATTTAGACTTTCCGTGATGAATGTTGTTCGACTGCTAGCCTTGGTGAGGTTGATATGGCTGCCTGGAGGATTACACGTATATATCACATAAAGCACACCCAGATATTTTGGGTCTTCGGTCTTGGCAATGTTTCCAGCTCTCTCGCCATCTTGGAGTTCTTCAAGAACCATTTCAAATACTGCTCTACTTTTCCTCTGGGAGGGACCCACACCTGAGGGACCCTAGTTTTGCCCTCTCAGTAATGTTGATATCATCTAATGAACTGATGTCTTCACATCTACTCCGTGGTCCCCAGGACCTGGCCACCTCCTTACTCTTGCGGTACACCTCAAAAATCATTCAACACAGTCCCCTATCCTCAGACAGCCACTCCACACCAACTCTCCAAATCTTCTCTCAGACCCAAAGATCTTATAATGTGTCTGCACCTGGAGCCACTATGAGGTCACCTGTGTCTTGTAACTCAATTCACACAAACTATGCAAAAGCAGCTTGGCCCCAAGCACTCTCTCTGACCCCCAAGGCTCATTGCTGCCCATTCATAACAGCCCAAACCTCTGAACTATTCACCCCTGGGCTAATGTATTACAGATCAAGTTCTGTCTGCTTCCTGTGGCTGGCTGCACTGGAACTCGAGATGTGGAAGCAGTGAGGAGGAGGAGGAGGGGGAGGAGGAAGCAGCTCAGGTGGCTGGGAACACCTGCTGCACAGCCAGGCAGGTTGAGAACAACTCTCACTTTTCCCATTGAGGCCTGAGTATTTGGTGACAAAATACTCCCTTCCACTAAGCCTCGGTATCTGCATATGAGGGACAGGAATATAGTAAATACAACCTGGTACTAAGAGGGTGTGTGACGCACACAGGACTCTTCCTTCACCTCCCCCACCCTGCCTGTGTATGGGGAAAGTCCCCCCAGCCTTCAAGGCCCTGTCGCGTCTTCCTCTCCAAGCCCCTACGAGTTCCCAGCTGGAAGTTTCTGGTGTCCCTCTGTTCCTTTCGCCAGTTTGCACCACTCAGCCACTTCCTGCGTTCCCCAATTCTCTTGCTGGATTACTTCCTGTCTAAGAATTTTATCTCCACATCTCATAAGTGCACAGTACCTAGTGCCTTACATGTAATAGGTGGCCAAAAAAACTGTCGCATACTTTAAAAAATGAAGGGGATAATGGCTATTAGCTGAAGGTTGTGAAAGAGAGGAGAGAAGCTGGCTGTCATACTGAGATCCGGCGTGGGCAGACAGCAAGCCCAGTGTGTTTCGGTATCTCTCCTCGGGGGCTTCCCAGAGCCTTCTGCCTAAGACCATGCCATGGCCTCCAGCTGAGAGGATTGACAGGCGACTTAGAGGCACCAGAGAACGGCATCTGGCCACAGCAGATCACCAAGCGGGGCAGTCAGAGAGCTTGGAAGTGCATTTGCTGTGGGGTCTCTTGGTGGCACAAAGTGGGCAGTCATCAGGAATTCGTGAGGCCAGCATGAACTGCTTGTGCCTTCAGAAAAGAATGTTCG